CCATCAGCTTCCTTGCTTCTGGGGTCTTGAGACTTGGACTGAACCATACTGTAGAAAAGGCATGATATAAATATGGAGTTTATAATTAAAAGGGAATCAGAGCATAAAGATTTGGAAAATTTGCAACCTGGCCTTGTGGTGGAGAATGAGAGAGCATTTTCAGGAGAAAAAAAACCACAATGGTGTAGCCCAGAGACTGTTTGTTAAGGAGATTAGTACAGAAGAAAGTGATTATCAAGAGAAGGGAAAAATACCTTGAAGGCACTTCAGAGATTTTTGAGGATACCCCTTGCCCAGAGGCCTTGGGAGACAGAATGGACTTGGGGAACAGGTCCGATGCTCCCTCCATGGGCTCATTGCCTGGGGACATCTCAGGATGCTGTTCCTCACACCAGCACCTCAGCTGCTTTGAAAGCCATGGCTAAATTGGCCCCAGGTGTGGCTGGATCCACAGCTTTGGAAGATACAAGGCTTAGCAGCATCCAAGTGGTATTAAATCTGCAGGCACACGGAATGCCAGAGATGTGGAGGACTGGGAACCTCCACTCTGATTTCAAAGGATGTGTGGAAAGGCTGGGGACCCAGAAAGAGATCTGTCACAGGGGTGGAGTAACTGCATAAAGCCTTCACTAAAGCAATATCAAACAGAAACGTGGGGTTGGAGTTGTAGTAGAGAAATCCCACCAGAGTTATGTCTAGTGGAACCAAGACAGGGGGACCACCATGGAGACCCCAGACCTGTGGACTTACCTGCGTGCAATGCTGGCCTGAAAGAGCTAAAGCATGGCCAGAGACCCAGAACACTGTAGAAGCGGAGTTGCCAGAGGACTTTGAGGCCCAATCCCACACTAGCATGTAGAGGACATCAAACATGGAGTCAAGGTACGGATTCCCCGGCTTTGAGATTTGAAACCTGCTAGGTTTCAGACTTGCTTAGGATTTGTTACCCCTTTCTTTTGGTCTATTTCTCCTTCTTTGAACTGGAATATGTGCTCTATCTTTGTCCCACCATTGTATTTTCGAAGTAAATAACTTGTTTTGATTTCAAAGATGAGACTTTGGAATTGAAACAGATTAAGTTGAAACAAATTAAGACTTTGGGGATGGAATGAATATGTACCTGTGGGGAGAACATGAACTTTTGGGTCTAGAGGTAGAATGCCTTGGATGGAATTGCATCCCCCAAAGTCCACTCCATGTATTAGAAACTTAATCACCACTGTGACAGAGTTAAGAGGCTGGGAAATCCAATTATAGTAATTAAAGGCAGGACCTGGAAGAGGTGATTAGATTGTGAGGACCATACCCTGGTAAATGGATTAATAAGTTGATGGCTTAATGGTGGTAATGGGTGTGGTTTCAAGGGCTTTAAAAGGAGAAGAAATGAGGAGTTAGTTCTTTCTCTCTGCACTTCCATTCTGCCATGTGAGACTCCTGCTCCAATGTCACCACCCTCAAGGCCTTCACCAGATGTGTTCCCTGGACTTTGGACTTCCCAGGCTCCAAAACCATAAGCAATAAATTTCTTAAAAATTACCCAGTTTAAGGTTATAAGCAAGAGAAACTGCCAGTAAAGACATCTGGGCAGGGAGTTTTCTTTGTTAGAAAGATTTAAATTACAAAATCAACTTCTGTAAAAGATATAGGACAACTTAAGTTGTATATTCTACATCAGTGACCTTTGGTAATTTGTGCTTTTCACAAAATAAATTGTGAAATTTGTAAGTACACTGTTGATAATAGTATGTCGTTATTATGCTTATAATGTCTATTGGGTTTGTAGTAATGTCCCCTATTTCATTTCTGATATTGGTGTTCTGTTCCATCTCTCTTTATTTCTTGATCAGTTTGGTTAGAGGTTGATGAGCATTACTGATACTTTCAAATAACTAGATTTTGGATTCACTGATTTTTTAAATTGTTTGTCTACTTTCATGTTTATTGATTTCGACTCTTTTAAAAATAAGTTTCTTCATCCTGCTTGCTTTGGGGTTAATTTGCTCTTATTTTTCATGTTTTTAATTGACACAGTTGTGCATATTTGTGGTGTACAGTGTGAAGTTTTAATACATGTAATTGACAGAACTTTCAAAATCTTCTCTTCCTTTTATTTTGAAATATACAATATATTATTGTTAACCATAGTCACCTCACTGTGTATTAAAACAATAGAACTGATTCCTTCTATCTAACTGTAATTTTGTACCCATTGACTAATCTTTCCCCATCTTCCCATACATCCCACTACTTTTAGCCTCTGGCAACAAGTCTACTTTTTACTTCTATGAGATCAACTGTTTTGATTCAAATTAAAGCATTTATTTGAGATCATTATTTTCTAGTATAAGCACTTCACTTAGTGCTGTATATTTCCCACTTATTGTTTTAGTTGCATCCCACAAATTTTGATATGTTGTACTTTCATTGTCATTAAATTAAAATATTTTCTAATTTCTCATGTGACTTTGAAACATGGTTTATTTATTTTTTTTAATTTGAAAATGTCTTTACCTTCATTCTTTTAAAGAAAATTTTTATTGAATCAAAATTGATTATACATATTTTGGGGGTTCAACATTGAGATATATTGATCAAATCAATATTACTAGCATATCTATTGTTACAAATTGTAATTATTCTTTATGCCCCTTGTCCCACCCCATCCCCCTTCCTCACCTCCTCCCCCCTCTAATCACCCTAGATTTCTTCTCTCCTTCTGAAAGAATAATGGTTACTCTGTCGATTTGTTGCCTAAATGATCTGTCCAATGCTGAGAGGCGTGATCAGGTCCTCCAATACTATCATAGAGCAGATGTCTCTTCCGTCACTCTGAAACGGGCTTTGTGAAGACAGACATCCTCCTCATTTCTTTATCTCTGCTGGTGACTCTCCTTGTATCAACTCACTCCAGTGGCTGGTAGACCATCTGCGTGGTGGTTGTAGCATCTAGCCGCCTTCATGGTAGCCATGGTTATCGTGGTAGCCATGGTGGACCATCCATATGGAGGAGATGTTTTTGGCCTGCTCCATGGTGCTGGCAAGGTGCCTGGTCGTGGAGAGTGTCCGATCCCTGGTTCTATGCCCCAGGTCCCCAAGTGGGTCCCGAGGTGCTGACACAGTGTGCCTGGTTGTGGGAGGGGGGTCCAGTCCCGAGCTCCTTACCCTGGGTCCCTAGGAACACCATGAGGCACTGGCACAGTGTGCCTGGTTGTGGGAGGGGGGTCCAGTCCCGAGCTCCTTACCCTGGGTCCCTAGGAACACCATGAGGCACTGGCACAGTGTGCCTGGTTGTGGGAGGGGGTTTTGATCCCCTTCTCCATGTCTCAGGTCCACAGCAGGCCCCAAGGCTGTGGAGGGGGGTCCTATCCCCCAATCCATACCCCAGGTCCCCAGGTGGGCCCCGAGTCACTGGCATGGGGTGCCTGGTTGTGGAAGGGGTGTCCAGTCCCCTTCTCCATTCCCCAGGTCCCCAGGCAGGCCCCGAGGTGCTAGAGAGGTGTGCCTGATTGTGGGAGGGAGGTTCAGTTCCCTTCTCCATGCCTCAGGCTGTTGAGTGGGCCCTGAGGAGCTGGCACAGTGTGCCTGGTGGAAAGAGGGGGTCTGGTCCCCTTCTCCATGCCCTGGGTCACAGGACAGGCCCCAAGGTGCTGGCACAGGGTGCCTGGTTGTGGGAGGGGGGTCTGGTCCCCTTCTCCATGCCCCAGGTCCCAGAGCAGACCCAAGGCACTGGCAAGGTATGCCTAGTTGTGGGAGAGAGGTTTGGTCCTCTTCTCCATGCCTCGGGCTGCTGGCAGGCCCTGATGCACTGTCCTGGCATGCTTTGTTGTGGGAGAATGGGTCCAGTCCCAACTCCTTATCCTGGGTCCCTGGTGCTGGCACAAGGTGCTTGGTTGTGGGAGGGGGTCTGGTCCCCTTCTCCATGCCCCAGGTCCAGGGCAGGCCCCAAGGTGCTGGCATGGGGTGCCTGGTTGTGGGAGGCAGGTCTGGTCCCTGGCTCCATACCCCGGGTCCCAGGGCAGGCCAGAGGCACTGGCGTGGGGTGCCTGGCTGTGGGAGGGAGGTTTGGTCCTCTTCTCCATGCCTCGGGCTGCTGGGCAGGCCCTGATGCACTGTCCCCACATGCCTCATTTTGGGAGGGTGGATCCAGTCCCAAATCCTTATCCGATGTCTCTGGGCAGGCGAAACATGGTTTATTTAGAAGTATGTTTGTATAATTTCCAGAAATTTGAAGAATTTTCAGATACTTTCAGTTTTCTAAATTTTAATTCCATTATTGTTTAACAACACACCTTGGCCATTAAGTACATAGGTCATAGAAAAAGAGACAGAAGAATTATACTATTCATGAGATAATACAACATCTGGGAAAAACTGGCAAGATCTGCCCATTGGCAACAATTCACCCATGAGGTAGGTGTTTCAGGAGAATTACATTTATTTTTTTCCAGCATACAGCTGAATAAAAAGTGTCACTTTGATTCAGAAGTGTAGGAAATTGAACAAGGACAGGGACCACTATGGAGAGTTCTGGCCATGCCAGGTCTGCTGGACCCAAAGCGTGATTTGAGCACTGGGATTATGACACTACTGTTGACCATTCACACTGCTTCCCCAGAGTCCAAACAACACCTACTTCTCTAATGTTTATTATCATTTATTCTTTCTCCCGGTCTACCATCCACTCCTCTAGTCACATGTCCAGCCGACCCAACATTGTCCTGTGTTCAGAGCCAGCTTCACAGAGGCACACAGTTCCACTGGTTCCAGTCACAAGGCATGCGAACATGATGCATTGTGTCACTCATTTTCTGTACGATTTTGTTGGCTTTGTCTGTATGGTTATATGCAGGAAAGCCGAGTTTGTCCATAATCTGGGTGTGGGCATGGGCAATGTAGGAGACGAGACCCTGAGCCCGGTACTCAGGCACGGTGCCTCCCATCCGCATCTCTCCGGTCTGGTCTATTAGGCTCCAGGACACAGGGGACCCCTCGGGCCCCAGCAGGCAGCAGGAGGGGAAGTTCTGGATACAGCGCTCAATGAACCTCTGGCTCCTCTCATTGCCACCAAAATGCCAGTACTTATTCACCAAGGCAGCGTGGGTGACATCCAGGGATGAGCATTTAAACTTCTGTAGGTTACTGTTGAGAAGAAAGAGAAAGAACAGGCATAATATCACACATACCGTGAAGTATTTATGTTTTTCCCCCAATTGTTTGGAGAGGCAAATAGATGCACAGTAAGGGCATAGGCTCTTTAGCTAGACTACCTGGGTCCACAATCTGACTACATGTGTGATCTTTGGCAGGTAACAATGTCTGTCTGACTCCATTTTTTCTCATGTTAAATGGGTATATTAAAAGAACCTATGTAAAAAACATGTAAGAGCTATTGCAAGGCAAGTGCCTAGGACAGTGCCATATAAACGATAAAAGCTCCATAAAAATGTAGTATTGTTCTTCCCAACATTGCTGTGACCCTCCATGTAAGATCGGGCAGTTGATATCATCCACATTTTATACATGAGAAAAATGTGTAAACAGAAAATAAATGAGTTCCTCAAACCACATTCTACCATGCAGTAAAGCCAGAGCTTAGAATTGTGAACTCTTAGAATGTTGGTGTCAGAGGGTCTTTGGCCATCGTGTTGAACAACTGGGAAAGTGAAGTCCAGAGGGGGGCAGCCATGTGGAGTGGACGTGACACCTCTTATGGAATACTGAACTCTGAAGACTCCTGCCATGGTGTAAATGAGCTTCTGCAGGCATCCTGAAAAGAGCCCAGGAGGTGGAACTAGAAGATCCAGACTCGAGCCCCAGTTATGTCCTTAAACATCCATGCAGTGATCAATCCACTTCATCATCAGAGACTTCTTTCTTTCAGGAGAATGGGGATAATGTCTCCTACTCTGTCTACCTGACAGGGTGGGCAAGAGGATCCAATGAGGCTGTGGACATGGGGGTGAATTTTAGGTGGTAATGAATAAAGCTCTTCCAGATGTATATCACACAGAAGTCCATAGGACTGAGCCTCTTCAGATCAAATCTCTGCCATCATCTTTCAATTCTACTTAGTATCAGATTAAAAACAAATGAGGGGAAAACATAATTTATTTAAATTTTCATTTTTGGAAAACTTTTACTCTGTAATGTAAGTTTATTAAAAGCATACTTATTAAGCACCTACTGTATTCTAGGTGAGGTTCTGGCTGTTGAGGATTTATGAGTGAAAAAATATAGGGAAAATCCCTGTTCTTTTGGGGTTTTACGCATTGTGGGGAGGTTTTAAACAACCATCAATTAGATGAATGCAGATAATATGATTTCAAATAAAAAGTAAAATAAAAAAATAAAAATTGGGTTTTATAATGAAGAATTATGGGAGGGGGTAGTTTTGGGTAGGGTGCTCTGAAAAGAACTGTAAAAGGAAATGAGAGTTGACAGTATAAATGGCAAAAAAGGAAAACATGCAAAGATGAGAAAGAAGGACATTTTAGGCAGATGAGGACCAAATGCAATGGCCCAAAGGCATGTGTGAGTGTCTGAGAACCAAGTAGCAGAAAGAAGATTAGAGCTGCTGGTGAGAGTGAGCAAGGGAGACAAGACAAAGTCCAAGAGGTGATGGCTGCAGGCCTTCTAGGGCCTTCACGGCCCATAAAGGAGTTTGGATTTTATTCAAGGTGAGCTGAGAAACACCAAAGGCTTTTAAGCAGGTGAATGACATCATCCACATTACATACTAAAAAGACTACCCTGGAAATGCATTGTAGGAAGGCAAGAGTGAACGCAGGGAGAGAAGTTGGGAGCCTACTTTAGTCGTGAAGGATGTGAGTCATGCAGAGCATCTGTTATCAAACTCACATGGCCTTGGGGACTCCAGATTCAGGACACACATTCTCTGTCTCCAGCAGGAAAGGGACCAGATTCTTTGCTGTCTTAGGCATCATATAAAGAATGCATTGTGTTCTCTTGACCTTGACCAATTTAGCAGCTGCAACACTTTGTATCACCTCATCCAGGCTGGACTGTGAACCTAGAGTATAGTAAAGTAAGGAGAGAAGTTACTTCCCATTTAGAAGCTACAAGAATTTTCCCAGTAGAAGTATGCAGGATTTAGAGTCAGACAACCTTACTTATGGTGTTGCCACTAACTGGGTGACCATGGCCAAGTCACTCCCCGAGCATGTTTTCTCTTTCACAAAACAGAGATAATGCTAGAAATCCTGACTGTATCACTGTGAAGTAAAAGGAGAACTGGGATTTTAAAAATAGCAGTTAACCTTGATTGTGCAAAAACTTCACGCCCCGGAATTAGTCTAACACCTCATTTAATCCTTACATTGACTTTATGTTTTAGCTTTTTTAAATTATCCTCATTTTTATTCATGAAAAAACCGAGTAATAGATAAGTTAAGTCTCTTGCTTAAGAACACTAAACAAGTAACAGGCAGAACAAGGATGCCACCCTAGGGAGTATGACCCTAGAGGGCATGCTCATAACCACAGCAATTGTCCTTGGTGACCTGGGAGTCACTCTATGGAACAATAAGCTGTCACATTTATTCCAGAAATGAAAGGCCAAAGGGGAAGCTCTGCTCTCATATCCAATTTTGCTAGGGTTCCTGAATATTTCTGTAAAGTAAATAATAAATTTTCAGCTAACAAGGAGTTATATTACTCACAGTTTCCTATGTGAGCCCTAGTTTTCAGTATTTGAATTCTACTCAACTGAAGAGGGGGTGGCAGCTGATACGAGGAATGAATGTCAAGCTGAGTCTGGGATTTGTTAGAAGAAAGTAAAGGTTGCAGGGGAATGTGCTACAGATGAAAAGTGACCTTATATATGTAGACACAGGGGATCCCAGCAGCTAGCACACATCCCAGACCCCTTACTTTGGATCTGCAAATGTTGTTTCCAGTTGATGATGTCTGACATGCCAAGGAATTCTTCACAGTTCTTGGGATCTTTAGAATAGACTTGGTAAGTGTTGATGTAGTGATCAAAGTCATCTGTCATCTCCTGTTTGATTGGGTAACATGGAAAAAGGAGACATTATAATCATTACAATGATTACAAAAGGAATCATTACAGATGATTAAGAAACTGTACACCAACAAATTAAAAAACCTAAAGAAAATAGTTAAATTTCTACACATATATACTAGCAAGGCAGAACCAAGAAGACACAGAAATCCTCAATAGACCAATAATTATCAATGAGATTGAAGCAGTAATCAGTAGTCTTTCAACAAAGAAAAACCCAGGATGGTTTTACTCCTGAGTTCTAAAACACTTTTAAAGAATAAATAATACCAATTATTCTCAAAATATTCCAAAAATCAAAGCACAGAGGATCCTTCTAAACTCATTCTATGAGGCCAGTATCACACTGACACCAACATCTGACAAGAACACAACAAAAAAAGAAAGCTACAGGCTAATAACTTTGATAGATGCAAAATTCTCAACTGAATACTAGCTAATATAATTCAACAGCACATCAAAAAGATTATACACCATGATCAATTAAGATTTATTCCAGGGATGTAAGGTTGGTTCAATATACAAAAATCAATAAATATGATATACCACATCAACAAAACGAAGGACAAAAACCATACAGTCACCTCTATAGGTGCAGAAAAAACATTTGATAAAATTCAACATCAATTCATGATAAAAAAAAAACCCTCAAAAAATTAGGTATAGAAGGAAAATAACAACACAGTAAAGGTTGTATATGACAAAACCACAACTAACATCATACTGAACAGGGGAAAATTGAGAGTTTTTCCTGTAAGAACAGGAAAAAGATAAGGGTATCCACTCTCACCAGTCTTATTTAACATAGTACTGGAAGTTCTAGCTAGAGTCATTAGGCAACAGAAAGAAATAAAGCTCATCTAAATTGAGTAAGAAAAAGGTAAATCATCCCTGTTTGCAGACATCATCTTATATAGAGAAAAACCTAAAGACTCCACCATAAAACTCTTAGTATGGATAAACAAATTCAGTAGAGTTGCTTGATAAAAAACCAACATACAAAAATCAGTAGCATTTCTATACACCAAGAATGAAAACCTGGAAAATAATTTAAGAGAGTAGCCCCATTTATAGTAGCTACCAAAAAGTTAAAATACCTAGGAATATTTTTAACCAAAGAGATGAGAGATCCCTATAATGAAAACACTGATAAAAGAAATTAGGGCCGAGCCTGTGGCGCACTCGGGAGAGTGCGGTGCTGGGAGTGCAGCAGCGCTCCTGCGCTCCTGCCGCGGGTTCGGATCCTATATAGGGATGACCGGTGGGCTCACAGCGCTCACTGGCTGAGC